GTTTACCTAATTATCCCAACGACTCCTATAAGATTCGTTCAGCGATTCATTTGTTCCCAAACCCCTCCTTAGCTTTATGTTAATCTGCACTGATTGGCCCGATGACACGGTCTGTTGCGATTGGTCGATTGCATTCAGCGCGAGACAGAGAGAAATGCCCACCACAACTTATCAACAGTGTTGAAGTAATCAGAGTCCAGAATGTATTTGTGAGCCCAATGGAGGCAATAGAGTCTGCGTTCAAAGATACAGAATATTATTAGTGATAAATTTAGAAACCTGAAATCACAGAGGATTTGTTTGATCATCATTTGCTTGGCAACATTCTGTTTTTCTTGTTCTAATTTTGCTTCTCTGTCCTTTAAAGAATAAAGATGCCCATAAAAATAGATTTCAAAAGGTCCAAAATCCTAAATAACATCACTTTACAGTTGAGTCATGTCAGAACAAAATGGTTTTATTCACAGTAACTCTGTTTGTTGGTAAAATCAACAATTTTAAAAAGTTTAAAATGTTTTTAATGAAACTAAGACTAAAAGTACAGACATAGTAATTATGAAATATATTACTAATTTATAAATACTAATTTAATGATGTAAATAATAGTTCACTGCCATTCATTACTACTTACTACAGTGGACTTTGAAGTTGCTTCCTTGCATCAATTCACCTAAAAATGTCAATTCTGTCATCATTTACTCAAATTTACTCAGTGTCTTATTTTTGTTTAACACAAGGCAAGATATACTGAACAGTGTTTCCTTTAGGACTTTTTCCAGCTATGGTGGCAGGCCTTACACACAGATCTTCCAACTACCTATGGCGTTATTTCAATGACATATGTCGTGAGCGCAGTAATAAAAGTTAAGATTGCATTCATGTAATACGAGCATGCAAATCTTTTTGCTTGCATGCCAATATCCTCTGTTCATGCACAAAACTTCTCGTACGCCTTCAATTATATGCTGTTCAAGCGAAGATTTTCTAGTGTGCTCACAAATAAACGCTGCTGACGGATGATTTAGTGCATTTATATAACAAGTCTCCATTTATTAGATTTTCTAGGAATATTTATGAACGTCATCGATAGAATACAGAACAGCATTGATGTGTCCTGAAGTAAGATGAAATGGCCATAAACTCCAGCAAGATAAGTAATATAATTATCTGTAACTTCTGGCCGCAGCCATATGCGTTCTAGAGCTGAATAACCATGTGGATGGATGATAACAGCCTTCTGAGCCTACCAGTACGCGTAGAAGGCCCCTACTGGCCCATACCTATCAGCTGATAACCACTGATAAACCCATTTATTCGAGTGATAGCATTCGAATCGGCTGCACGCATCACCAGTCAGTCAGTCAGTATGTAACCCTAAAGAGTTAAACAAATAACACACAGCACTACTACGATTACAGAAACGTTCGCTTTGTTATAATTCACTTAAATTTTAATATGTTATGTTTTGTTGTGATTATAACCGACTAAAAAGAAAAAACTGAAGGTTCTGAATGAGAAGCTGTAATGTAGGCATGGCAGGATTGCATTTTGGTGTGGCGCCCCGCCATAGAAGAATGAACATGGCAGAAACCATGTTGAAGAATGATGGAAAAAATAGCCATCGACTACCATAGCATTTTTTAAACCAAGCTTTAAGTAGGACATGATCTGGTCATTTTTGTGCAAGATGCTAATGGTCTAATCTGAATCAATGATTTATGCTAAGCTAAGCTGAAAGTGCTCGCGCCAGACACAGATATTGGCTAAATGGGGACTTCTAGGGGACTGAAGCGGGTGGGTGCTCATTTAAGCTCAAGGTCAGATGCCATTTCGCATGCTTCACGAACACCAACATGAAAAAAAGAAAAAAGCAATCAGCATGTAAAATTGTGTACATATACCTTCATATGCCTTGAGTTGTTATTCTATTTAGAAAGCAGACATCAGTTCAGCAGTTTTTTCTTGCCATTCTCGGCTACACACACTGTGCTTTATTTAGCATTTGTCTTGCTCTGCGTCACATCAGTAGAGTGCGGTGCCAGCTTTAACGAGTTCACTTGCTGGCACAGCGGCTGTGGGAATGGCAGGGACGTCCATGTGTGTGTATATGTGTTATATAAGAGCGTAGTGATGTAATGCAGTTCCCTGAACATCAGCTCTGAGGTGTGTGTGTGTGTGTGTGTGTGTGTATCCAAGTGTGCTGCATTGCCCTGCTCTTCACCTGATCCTGCAGAGTCTTGACTTTCATGTGCACGTGCGTTCACTGTCAATGAAAAGCAGAGCGGCTTCTGAATGTTAGCTTCTCTATCCAAAGGTTGAGGATTATTTGATTTAATCCTCTCCGACAGCAATGATATTCTAAATCTGGCCTGAATGATGGTTAATAGAAATGCTTGCCGGGGATGTTTTGTTTTTGCATTGTTGAAAGCCTCCGTCTGGGATTTCAGTGAACAATATTAAATTCCTTTAATATTTCAGATTATGAGCTTTGAGTTGATAGTTTTTATATTTTTGATTTATGCATTATGAAAACACAATTTTGCTTTAATTAGCTTTAAGACGTTTAGCTTTTTAGAACTCTTTTTCATTCATTCATTTTCCTTCGGCTTAGTCCCTTATTTATCAGGGGTTGCCACGGCAGAATGAACCGCTCACTATTCTGGAATGTTTTATGCAGCAGATGCTCTTCCAGCTGCAACCCAGTACTGGGAAACAACCATACACTCATACAATAAGACCAATTTAGTTCATGAATTCACCTATAGCACATGTCTTTAGACTGAGGGGAAACCAAAGCACCCGGGGAAAACCCACGCGAACACATGGAGTACATGCAAAATCCACACAGAAATGCCAACTGGCCCAGCCGAGGCTCGAACCAGCGACCTTCTTGCTGTGAGGCGACAGTGCTAACCACTGAGCCACCGTGCTGCCCTGTTGTAACTCTTTTTGTAAATGGGGCGGATTTGGTACAGCATCAAGCTGTTGGTTTCTTCTGTTGGTGCCAATATAGATTTAACAACCCCATATTTCAGTAACAGCTTGTTTGTTTGCTGAGCTGCATTAAAGAATGAAACGGATGCCCTTTCAGCTCCAACCTATCACTGGGAAACATCCATACACACTCATTCACACACATAGATTACGGAAAATTTAGCTTAGCCAATTCAACTATAGCACGTTTTTGGATTGTGGGGGAAACCGGAGCACAGAACTATTTACAAGATACAATTAACTTAACTAACTGTTTTCTGTTGTAATACATTTTAAAGAATATTTTATTCGCTTGTAGTTTATTTTTTTTGCAGCCATTTATGATTCTTCTAATACTGTACTCTGTTTATTTGGTCCTGAGGAAATATTTGTTATCATTTATAATTTTTACTGTAAACTAATTAAGTCCAATACAAGTAATTTTTAGCATTTTTGTAATCCGTTTTTCCTGCAGATGGTGTCACATGTAGAGGTAGTAGTCATTTTGAACTATTACTCACTGTATGCACATGAGCATTATATTTCCTAACATAAAACCCAAATAGACATCGTGATCATTCATTAAAAGAAGCAAACATGAACTATATGTCAGGAAAGTCATTAATAAGCAGCTTTTTTTAAGACTCAACAACAACCAAAAAAATCAGATTTTTAGCTCAGTCAGCACTATCATCAGAGCTGCAGGGCTTCCCAAACCCCATTGCGTAATCCCTCAGCAGCGCAGTTTACACAAGGTCAGGTCTGAATCTTCACAACTGTCATAGTAAATCTCTTCATCAGCCTTCAGATCAGCAACTCTTCATGGCATACAAAGTTCATCCCCAGAAACAATGCAAAAGACTGAGCAGCAGCACTTGCAGGCGTCCAGAGGGGAACATAAATGGACAGGGCTTAATTTACTAAAGTTATGCGCCTATTGATTTTGCACACTTTGCCTAATGACTTTATTGATTCATGGGTTGATTTAATAACACTGCAAATTTAGTGAAATTAGATGTACAATAAATGCAGACGTGGAGAGTAAGCAAGTATTTGACTTTCTTTTTTCCTAGTCTAAGTACTTCAGAGCATTGGTGTTTTGGGAGACTTTGCTATTTTTAAAGCATGATATTGTCCTTTTTACTTCACTACTAAAATTAAACACTAAAGAGGTGTTAGCAGTGTTGATTTGTGAACAAGCTGATTTTTTTCAGTTCAATTCTGTTTAATATTTTTTGTTAATTTGACTGGTAATGATTATATCTGTTATTAGTTACAACTCACTGATTCAAATGATCCAGTCACAGCGAGTCTCCAGTTAACGATTTATTTTACAAATCACAATTTCCAATCCCAGATTGTGTACCTTTCCAAATTCTGTGGCCCTATCTCTCTCACTTCACTTCCTATCATTCTGTCAAATAAAGGCAAAATGGCAAAAATAAAAATGAATTCACTGTATTCTCTAGTCTGACTCAAAATGAGCCAAGAATGGGCCATCCTCTGAACTTTCCATTTATGAACACGATTCTTTTGAGCTGATAGCTTTTTAAAGCTTTTTTTTTTAGCTAAAATATTACATTTTTACATTTATTTCTGAATTAATGCTATCTAATTAAGTCTCTTCTTAAGTCAAAATTTTACGAATTCAAATAATCCAATCAGGACGAATCTCAAGTTAACGATTCAATGATTCAAATTATAGAGACTTTGATTAAAGATTCACTTAAGTCTAATTTGAAAAGGAGTGTTATGATTTTTATTCAGGTATCTGTATGATCATGCGCATAATGTATTTGTATACTTCATCCACATCTGCATACAGATTATTAGTGTAATTAGTGCAGATAATTAGCACTTCTTCTGTGAATTGCCTCTTCTTGTTGATTGCTGAATGCCTCCTCAATTGTAAGTCACACTGGACAAAAGCATCTGCTAAATTACAATGTAAATGTAGTATATAGCTAAATCCCATTTGCATAACTCCTCCCCTGATGCTTCTATTTCTCTTTGTTTCCACCGTAAAGGGAAATCTCATCTGGCCATCGTACAGAGGGTCAATAATGAAGGAGAAGGAGATCCTTTTTATGAAGTCATGGGCATCGTCACTCTGGAAGACGTCATCGAGGAGATCATCAAGTCCGAGATTGTGGACGAAACAGACCTCTACAGTAGGTGTTCTTTAAATAAGGCTACAGTTGCAAAAAGAGCAATTTTAGGAGGAACATTTCTTCTAGACAGCCATTGCAGAGCGTCTGACTGATCGAAAAGCATCCCAGATCCCTGCTGCTTCCTCATGCATAGTCGATAACACCGTGACCCTGTTGCAAATAATTACCACACTAATTAGATTCTAGAACTCTGTGTTATTTGTCTTCTGGCGAAGCCTTTTCTCTGCAATTATCAGTTCGGATTTAATCATGATTAACAGTGGGGAGAGTGAGGTTAGGCTAGCCTATTGAAAAGCGGTACTATTATGGTTTTAAGAGCTCCTTTGGTATCTAATGTTGTAGTTTGAGCATACAACTCACTCAGACAACTCCATTAAATGAGTTTTCTTCTGCAGACGTCTCAAATGTAGTATCCCACATTTAAATAAACTAAGGAGGCAGGGCCTGGTTGAGTTGTGGTAGTAGTGTGTTGTCCAAGCTGACGGTTGGTTTTTGGGCTTCGTCGGTCAGGCCAGTTGGTTTGAAGAGTTCACACACCTTGAGCTCAAGGGATCCTCGAGCCCAGGGCTCCCTCCTGTTTGCAGAGTGAGAGAGGAGTGGCTAAGGTAAACTACATTGGAAAGGAAAGATACTGATGCTGGGAACTAAACAAAGTGCCCATTTGGCTTAGTCTGTTACAAATGATGCATATCTTTGGATGGTGGAAGGAAACTGGGAAACGTGGGGGAAACCCATGCGGGCACGAGGAGAACATGCAAACTCTGCTCAGAAAAACCCTGTGTCATCCAATCTAAGAGAAAAAGGAGGATAAGGGGAGGAAGGGGGTTTCTTCCAGACGAAGATAAATGTAGAATGAAGACTGTGGTTATATAGTAACTTAAGAATCATATGATTGGAGGATCATGATTAGCTAATGCGGGAGCGGCTTTGGTAAATCACAAGCAAGTGATCCTCTCGAAATTAGTTTATAAATAAACCTCACTTGATGTGTTCCACATGTAGCCTCTCATCGGGTTAATGTCAGATCTTGTTGGCCCAGTTCAGCATGTCTGGTTATTCAGCAGTGAATCAGAGAGCAAGTTGATGTAGTGAAGTGATGTAGCAATTAAAAAAAATTAAGTCAGGAAGGAGCACAAAGAGGTCGGTTGTAATTTTGTCACATTTCTCAAATATTTGCAAATGATATGGATTATTAAGACATGCAGACATAGGTATCAGACATACAGTGTTTGCATGGGCGAATCCCTCCGAGCTGAGGGGCAATTGCTGTGAGAATGGTACTAAACACTGCCTTGTTTCCAGTTTGCTCTATGGACATCTGAAGTTCTGAAGTTCCTATCAGCAACAAGAAAACAGACTACTGCTTCCTGTGATGTGGAAAGACACATCCTCCTATGCATGTAAAACACACTCTTGTTTCAGTTGGCTTTGGTGTGTTTACGCGCAGCATTTTGGTTCAGATGGAACCAGACGTGGGCTGACATGAGGCGACAACACAGTTGGGTTTTGTCGGTGATAGTTGTTCGCCGTCTTCTTGGTGTGTCCGGCCCTAAAAGATGCTGATTCACAGATCTAATATACTGATACACATAAGATGTGTGGTTTACATTGAAATATTTAACCAACTTGTGTGGAATATTTGTGCTTTCATTTATTTATTTATATTTACAATGGCTAATTACTTCACATGACCTATTGCACTAAACAAAATCTACATTTCTAAATAATGAGGGCTGTAAATCCTCTGATATTGCATTTTCTGCTATATGCTTTTGCATATTCTCTAGACCAGGGGTCACCAACCTTTTGGAAACTGAGAGCTACTTCTTGGGTATCGTTTAATGTGAAGGGCTACCAGTTTGATACACACTTCCTAATAACAAATTTGCTCAATTTACTTTTAATTTTATGTTATTAATAATTAATGATATTCATCTATGTGAAGACACTGATCATGTTAATGATATCTCACAATAGTTGTTAACAATGATTGGAAACAGATAAATATCAACCAATGCAAGTGTGATTTAAAAAGAATAGCTACAAAAAATATTAGATGCAGCTTACTGGTATGTGGTGCTATGGTAAGCTAATTTTATAACAGGTCCACGGGCAACTCATGTGATCCTTGCGGTCTACCTGGTGCCTGCGGGCACCATGTTGGTGACCCCTGTTCTAGACCAATGTTTCTCAATTGGTGGGTCGCAACCCAAAAGTGGGTCGTGGGAACATTTAAAGTGGGTCGCAAAGTGTGTGTCAAAAAACAACAAAGTTGAATTTTTAACTTATTTTGGCTTTTATTTTGAAATGCGTGCGCGACAACCCTACTGTTTGGCATGAGAAATTACATTTAATTATAGCAACAAATATGTCGAAGTGCAAGTACGACCCCGAATATGTTAAGAATGGATTTACATATATTGACGACAAAAAAAAGACTTAAAGCCTCAGTGTGTCATATGTAGTGAGGTGCGCTCAAAAGAGAGCATGAAACCTTCTAAATTAAAACGACATTTAGAAACCAGACAACATGTTTTATTAACAGTTCACTTTGGTTCATGGTAACTGAACCTTTCCTTACCCTAACCACTGTTTATAGTATTTGTTGTTTTTACTTCGTAATATTTCTATAATTTGATACATTTTGTTAAATGACAGCAATAAAATATAGTTTGTTTGTAAGTCTTGGTCATTTTCTTATGATTGATCTGTCCCTACTTGTGTATGTTAACAAATAAATACAAATTAATTATAATTCCTAAAATTGTATCATAGTTCCTAAAACTTTGGGTCGCGGCTTGATGACCATGTAAAAATGTGGGTCCAATGGCCAAACCAGTTGAGAACTGCTTCGATTTGAGGTACTTTAAGGATCTGTATAACATTTGTGTGTGCGTGTGTGTGTGTGTGTGTGTGTGTGTGTGTGTGTGTGTGTGTGTGTGTGTGTGTGTGTGTGTGTGTGTGTGTGTGTGTGTGCAGCTGATAACCGTACAAAAAGGAGAGTGTCTCACCATGAAAGGAAACTACAAGATTTTTCCATATTTAAGCTGTCAGAGAGTGAAATGAAGGTCAAAGTTTCACCACAGCTTCTGCTCGCCACACATCGCTTTCTGGCCACAGGTAAACTCATAATTCACAACTGTAGAAAAGATTCAGGTCTGTTAATGATAGTTTGGCAAGTTTTTGAGAGTTAATAAAAACACGTTAGTCTTAAGGTTATCTGCATACTCTAAAACAAAGACATGATTTTAATTTAGAACAGGGGTGCCCAAACTTGGTCCTGGAGGGCCGGTGTCCAGCATACTTTAGTTCCAACCCCAATTAAACACCACTGAACCAGCTAATCAAGCTCTTACTAGGTATACTAAAACTTCTAGGCAAGTGTGTTGAAGGAAGTTGGAGCTAAACTATGCAGGACACCGGCCCTCCAGGACCGATTTGGATATCAATGATTTTGTTTCTGTTAGTAAGAATCAAGATTTTTTTTATCTTCTGACCAATCAACTCTTTAGTATCTGAAGCGTCTTTACCCCAACAATTTATTCACGTGATACTGAGACTTCTTGCTGAGGGTCCACCTAAAAACACTTGCATATATGGAAATAATAGTATTTCCATCATCACTGCATCATGCTGCAGTGTGAACACACACAGTTTGCTCTGTTCCAAATACCCAACAGCACAGAGCAAACCATATTAGCAAAACAAAATGCTAATGGACATTAATTTAAAGGGAGCGGAGCTATATGTCCCACCCTGTTTTTATGTTTCATTTGAAGTTATATCACACATTGAACAAAGCTGCACATTTAAAGGAACTCCAGGTTACCTTTAAATCACATAAAACACAAAGCCTCATTTGACGAAGTAAAGTATCTCCTGATCGATCGCAGCATTGAAAATCATTAATAAATGATGAAGAATCAGAATGTTGCGTTTTACTGTCAGTACCATAAAGGCATGTATTATTCTGTCTCCTCTCTTTTCTGTTGGCAGAAGTCGAGCCTTTTAAGTCGACTCATCTGTCAGAGAAGATCCTCCTGCGACTGATAAAGCACCCCAGTGTTGTGCAGGAACTCAAGTTTGATGAGAAGAACAAGCGCTCACCAAAACACTACCTCTTCCTGCGCAACAAGCCTGTCGATTACTTCGTCCTCATACTGCAGGTTAAGCACTAAGAAAGACTTGAAAAGAAAATGGTTGATAATGCAAAATATTTATATTTACATTATTAAAAATGTAATTTGTTTCGGTTGCTATGCTGTTTATTTGCCTATAAATTATAATGAACCAATGAAATGAATATATATGTACATTACTAAGTTATATAACATTATTTTACATAAAAATGTGAAATTATTATGTTATTGGACACCACTGTAGGTGGAGCAAAAAAGGTTTCAAATAAAACCAAAACTGCTCCTTTTTTAACTAAATAGTTTTGCTCGAAAATTAACATGTAACAAAGTATATTTAAAAATAGATATAATTTAAAAACAGTACATACAGGTAGGAAGTTTAATGTGGTGCCTTGTTATTTGCGGCAGTTATGTTTTAAAAATAACCCGCAATAGGCGTAATCCTCAAAGTAGTCAGCTTTATTTTTTTTGTGTGTGTATATATATATATATTTCTCCAGTCTCTGATCCACAAAGCTAAAGCAAACTCCATGCTTAAGGGGGTCGCACACACGCTGCGCACATGACAGTTTGAAGTAACACACACTGTACACGCACATTCGCATGTTATTCATTCATTCATTCATTTTCTTTTCGGCTTAATCTCTTTATTAATCAGGGTCGCCACAGCAGAATAAACCTCTTATCCAGCATATTGCAACGGATACCCTCCAGTCGCAACCCAACACTGGGAAACACCCATACACTCTCACATTCACACTCATCCACTATGGCCACGATTTTAGATTTGGACAGATTGGACTGTGGGGGAAACCGGAGCACCCGGACGAAAACTATCGCGAACATGGGGAGAACATGCAAACTCCCCTCAGAAATGCCAACTGACCCAGCCAGGGCTCAAACCAGTGACCTTCTTGCTGTGAGGCGATCGTGTTACACACCTAGCAACCGCTGTTACCTGCCTTTGAGTCACATTGGCTTTCTCAATCCAACATCAATGTGCATCAACAAACGTTAGCATCTAGTTGTATGTTGTAATCTCTCTCTTACTCTCTCTCTCTCTCTCTCTCTCTCTCTCTCCACAGGGTCGGGTTGAGGTCGAGATTGGTAAAGAAGGCTTAAAGTTTGAAAATGGCCCGTTCACATACTATGGTTTACCTGCTGTCATGACCATCCTACCCACAGGTTAGTTTATTACTGTCAGAACTGATCACTGCAGCTAAACAGAGCCTTGTGAATTAAAACCAACCTGAGCTCCCAGAATATCTCAAACGAGGCTTTCCTGCAGTAAAAGCATTAATGAGCAATTAAAAACGGATCCTCCAGCAGCAGCTCTCCTGAGATAACGAAGACTGAAAAATCTACATGCAAATCTTAAGAGAGTCGAGTCGGGTAATTACAGACACACTCGTCTGCCCACTCAGCCAAAATGACACGCTATTATTATATAATGAGGAAAATCTCATAAGCCGAGCAGCACCAAAATAGCAGAAATAACTTTAAGGATGGAGACTTAAGTCCTTGTTGAAGGGATTAAAGAAGAAGTGTCATATCTTTACTATACACCATCACTCTCTATAAATATTTTGATATAAATATATTTATACACAGAAAGTAAAGCTACACTGCAGATTCAGCTCCACAAACCAACACAATTCAACCAGGATAATGAGCTAATGAGACCTGACAGATACATGAGCATCTCAAATGAGCATGCAAAGACACTCTGTGTGCTTTTCGCTTTTAAAATCACTGTCACTAAAAGGCTTTTCTACTTTTTCAAAACTTCAGGTCTTTTTAGACTTTTATTACATTTAAATTTATTCATTAGCAGATGCTTTTATCTGAAGTGACTTAAAAATGAGGAATACATTAAGTGATTTGATAGAGGCGAATAAATCACTAAAAGTGGTCACAACACAAAATTTTAGCCGTTGTTTAAAAAATAAACCTAAAATAGAAGTAAAAAAATTTAAATTTAATTAAATCAATTAAATTTAATTATCCAGCTTAAAGGGCCATGAAACCCACTCTTTCAGTTCAAGTCTACCTCACAATTCCTTTAAAAAATGCTTTGTAATGGGCATGGAGCTCTGCGAGCAGACGAAGAGTTCAGAATGACCAAGAGGCGACACTCAATAGAACGTTCCATTGCAACAGCAGCGGCCAGCAACAGCCCCAGATTCCGCCATTTTGTAGTGAAAGCAGTCGGCTGTCCATTGGATCTCATTACTGTCGCGATGGCAAGCAGCTGATTTGTTTTTTTATTTATTTACTTAAAAAGCACATTAAAGCTGAGATACAACCTGAAAGACGACAATACAACACTTACTATCACAATCATCAGCGCTTTTAATAGTTGATTTGACAGACTTATAGTATGCTGCTGTCTATTGGAGTTTTCAATCCAAAATGGCTGTTTCCTAAATTGCACTAGAGTGTCGCCTCTTGGTGATTCTATGCTCTTTGGAGCAGAGGGAGAAGTTGGCGTGGCCGGCAGAGCAGGGGGAAAAGAGGGGAGGACCAACTGTCAATTGGCTCACAAAATGAGACACAAACCATGTGGACACCAATGATTTTATAGTTTTCAAAGTTAAAATGCAAAGAAATAAACAGTAATTTAATGCCCTGCTACCTTTGTTAATAGTAATTTCATATACACAACCACAATTTGTTGTATCATCATAAAGATAATCTTATTTATATGAACACTATAAATGAGGAGGACTTCTCTCCTCGTCAATGCCCGGCTCTGAATGCAGACACAGTGGATAGAGATGCAGCAGGGCTCTTGCCCTGTCTATTTCAACTATTAACCCTGCCGGTAATCTGGAGGATTTTAAACAGGCGAACACATGCAGCACTGATATAGATGATGTGTCTCAATGGTAATAAAATCCACTGATAAAAGTCAAAGTCAGCTATTCTCTACTTCTTGTACAGCTCTCCCCCCAAAAAAAATACTTGCTGCAAACCAACAGCTTTGCTGTATCGGCCCTGACAGAATCATGGGGAAAAACATGCAACAAACCCTGTGGATAAAAGAACGAGGTTTCACCCAGTCATTGGGTCACAGTTTGGCAGGTCTGCCTTGCTTTCGGAAAGCATGTACTCTCATGAATAATTAAGGAGCAAGGTCTTCTCATAGGATAAGAAAACACCGCTATGAATAATAATGAGAAACCAACACCTCATCACTCCACTAGCAGATTAATGCCACGGCACCAATTTTGATCTCACCCTAAAAAAAATTTAAACCCAGAAGAAGAAATTAGCTGACAATTGCTTAATTTTTTTCAGTTTTCCACACAATTAAAGCAAACAGGTGCTAACGGTGTCTTTACTAATGCTCAAATACACATCTGTAAAATAAAAATAAAAAGTAGTTTAGGGTATCTTGAACCTTTAAGTGCTATTTTTAATCAGTACTTGGGACAAATTTTATTTATTAGGTCAAATGTTTAATACAATTTTAAATAATAGCAGTACTTTTTTTTTATAAGTGCACCTGATAAAAACAGTATACAGAAACATTTTGATTGACATTCTCCCTCTTACATGTCATCAGAAGGGGAAAGCCCCGCCTATAAGTGACAATCTCTCCCTCATTAGCAGAATAACAGCCCTGAGTGAGAAGCAGCTGATTTGAATCTGCTGCTATGCCAAGGGACAGGTATTTTTAGCTTCGCCCCTTTTTAAAAAATAAGGCTGGGAGCACAATCTAATTTGAATTTAAAGCGACAGTCACCAAATTGGCACACTTTGCATCAAAACTTAAAAGGGGCAGTTTCAAAGAGTTATTAAAAATATATTCATGGGGTATTTTAGCTGAAACTTTACATACACACTCCGGGGACATAAGAGACTTATTTTACATCTTGTAAAACGAGGCATAATAGGTATTCTTTAAAGTACCCTTAATGTTTAATGTACTATAGAATATGTCCTGTTTAATTAATTAATTTATCTATTTAGTCCACAGATCCCCATCCCGGAGCAGCGGTCTCAACCATTCAGATACCACCATTCATGGAGGTAGTTTGGGTCAGCTGAGCATCAGCGGAGGACCGTATTTACCAGACTATTCAGTTCGCCAGCTCACAGACCTACAGATCATTAAGGTAAATTATATAATGCAAAAAATATTAAAATGTATTATTATATTATATTATATTATATTATATTATATTATATTATAATTATATTATACTATAATATTTTATATTATATTTTATTATATTATACTATACTATATTATATTATATTTTATTATACTCTACTATATTATATTATATTATATTATATTATATTATATTATATTATATTATATTATATTATATTATATTATATTATATTATATTATATTATATTATATTATATGATACAATATTATATTATATTTTATTATATTATACTATACTATATTATATTATACTATATTATATTATATTTTATTACATTATACTATATTATATTATATTATATTATTTTAAATTATACTATATGCGAGTATGAAAATTATAAAAATGGTTTATTTGTGAATTTCCCCCTCATGCATGAAAACGAAAAAGGACATTTTCCTTAGGCTAGTCAAATTTATATATGTACATTATGTATACTTGCACCTTTATATTAAAATAACTAACCTAAACCTAATAAATTAATACTTTTTCAGTAAGGATTTATTAAACTGAATCAAAAGGAACAATATAAAAATGGATAGTTCAATCAAAGATCTTTATTTTTTATTGATTTATTAAAGTAACCTATAATAATTAATCTATTTCTATTCCTTAAAGAAAAAAATAATTCTAATAAGGTACATATGAGTACCTAAAAACCCCAACAATGTACCTTTTAAAAGTGTTTTCTTTATTTAGTGTATGTTCCTCAATACTTTTTCCAGATCACTCGTAATCATTATCAGAACGCACTGACAGCGACGCGCATGGACAGCTCTCCACAGACCCCAGACGCAGACAGTCACGCAGCCGGAGAAAGAATGACAATCCCGGAAACTCGCTCCAACAGCATCGCCCTCCCTCTGACCGAACCACGGCCCTGTCTGACCCGCTTCCACCAACACATTCACCTCTACAGACAACCAGACAGCACCAGCACGCTCAACGAGAGGAACTGCATCGTCCGTGAGTACATTCTCACTCTCAGTATAAACCTTAAAAATAAATACTGCTGCAGAATGTAAAGGGATCCAATCATTGGATTAGGGATCTTAGATAGCATCTTACAGTAGAGAAGATTCGGTACTCCACCAAAGGTTGCAATCAAAAAGTCAAAGTCTTATTTGGCACCCAGTGCTGACATATATAGAGCAAATGGATCCAAATTTAATATTGTTGTTCATAGTATATTATGTTGTTCATTTGTTTCTCACATTTTTTCTTCGCTCCATTTTCTTTAAATGTGTATTTATATTATTTTATATATTTTTTTAAGCCTGTTGCGATTCATTGTGCATGTTTATTTTATCTTTACCATGATGACAATAAATAATATTTTACTAGATATTTTTCAAGACACTTTTATACAACTTAAAGTGACATTCAAAGGCTTAACTAAGTTAATTATGTTAACTAGGCAGGTTAGGGTAATTAGGCAAGTCATTGTATAACTGTCATTGTATAACTTCTATCTATCGAAAAAAATATATAGCTTAAAGGGGATAATAATTTTGACCTTAAAATGGCTTTTTAAAATTTAAAAACTGTATATATATATACAGTGGAAGTCAGAATTATTAGCCCCCCTTTGAATTTTTCTTTTTTAAATATTTCCCAAATTATGTTTAACAGAGCAAGGACATTTTCACAGTATGTCTGATAATATTTTTTTCTTCTGGAGAATGTCTTATTTGTTTTATTTCAACAAGAATAAGAGCATGTATAAATTTTTTGAAAACCATTTTAAGGTCAAAATTATTAGCCCCTTAAAGAATTTTTTTTTTTCGATAGTTTACAGAACAAATCATTGTTACACGATAACTTGTCTAATTACCATAACCTGCCTAGTTAACCTAATTAACCTAGATAAGCCTTTAAATGTCACTAAGCTTTATAGAATTGGCTTAAAAATATCTAGTCAAATATTATTTACTGTCATCATGGCAAAGATAAAACAAATTAGTTATTAGAAATGAGTTCTTAAAACTATTATGTTTAGAAATGAGCTGAAAAAAAAAATCTCTCTGTTAAACAAATTGGGGGGAAAAAAATAAACACGGGGGGCTAATAATTCTGACATCAACTGTATATTCGGACAATAGATGAGTAAACATATAAGGGAACTTTTATCCACTTGTATTTGCTTATGTATGTATATATCATGATATGGTGTAAAACAGATTGAGAATGTGCATAATATATTATAATATATATTTAAAATATATTTTTAAATCTTTTTGAAATTGTAGTTATATTGAGTAAAATGGCAATAAAAAGATCTAAACAAACATAATTTAAAAGGATAGTTCACCCATAAATTAAAATAGTTTTAAACCTTAATTAGTTTCTTTCTTATGTTAAACACAAAAGAAGATATTTTGAAGAATGCGGGGTGTTTGCTCCCCATCTACTTCCATAGTAGAAAACAAATACTTTGGACGTCAATGGGAGCCAGCACAAGGAATTCTTCAAAATATCTTCTATTGTGGTCAGCAGAAGAAAGATACTCAAATAGGTTTTGAGCAAGTGGAGCGTGAGTAAATGATGACCATTTGAATATTTTTTTTTGGTTAATTATCCCTCCAACTGTTTTTACTCAGAAGCTACTTCTCTATGACAGATCATTTAAGCTCATCTCCAAGGCCCCTGTTCTTTTCTGAAGTTTGCAGCAAGTATTGCATAACCATGGTCTCGCGCCACTATTGAAGAACACTAAAAGTTTTGCTTTATACAGAGAGGTTCCCAAATGTACCCATATGATATCAATGAGAGCTGCATGTGTTAATCTTTGGGGATGCAGATAACGCATGTTGTTGGTGCATGTGATGGAATTAAGATGTTTCTCACAGCTTCCAAATGCAAGACAAGACAGATGGCCGAACTCTAATCCTCTCAGTAAAACTAATCAGACGTTGTGTGAAAAGCTTTAACTCAAATTCCTAAACTAGAAATTACTTATAAATGTCAAAATACAGAGGTGATGAAATTCAGCTTCCACCAATAAACAAGGTCTGTCCTGGAGTGTACACATGAATCAAACGCAGTTCAATCAAATCACATTGTTAACCAAGATCATATTTGCATTATCAAATGCTAGTGTAAATATTTAATTGTGTATGTTAGTACTGATAGCCAGTGTTGGGGAAAGTTACTTTGAAAGTTATGCAATACAATATTGAATTACTCCACAAAAAAGTAACTAGTTGCATTACTTAGTTACTTTTTGTAGTGAGTAATGTGTTACATAACTTTTTATTACCTGGGAGAGGTTTGATCTCTTTCAGAACAATTTTTTCTTTCTTTTTTAAATAGAGGAGTTCTGCAATTAACAACACACTGTATAACCTACACCTTAATTTACCTTTAAAAAACACATCAAAAAATTTTAGGATAATGTTATCTGGGATCTTCCTGACCTCACACTCTCAGAAACCAAGGTACAACATCTGTCACTGGGGTGGTACCTTTTCAAAAAAGTTACATTTCTGTTTTTAACAGGTCCTTAAAAGGTGCATATTAGTACCTTAAAAGTACAAATGTGTACTTCACAGTACCTTAAAAGTACAAAAGTAAACCCTTAAGGTACTAATTTCCACCTATGGTACAAAAGTGTACCTTTTGTAAAGGTACAACCCCAGTGACAGCTTTTGTACCTTTATTTCTGAGAGTGCAGAGCTATACATGCCGTATATAGATTATTGAAAGTTTAAAGAGATGTGTTTGCTACTTTTGTACTATTTGTCTTAAGTAAAATCACTGTCCATTGAGAAAATCCCCTTTCATTTTTTTTCGATGCGTTCAAAATAATGAGCACATGAGCATAACTACTTAAATTTCAATTCAGCATTTTTTTTAAAGCTAAATAATTAAACTAAAAAGTAACTCGCATTACATTTTCAAAAAAGTAACTCAAATATTATTGCTTAAGTTTTTCAAAGTAGTGCATTGCTTCACTCATTACTTAAAACAGTTATATTATTACATAACTTCGTTATGGCTGATTTATACTTCTGCGGCCACTTTGCAGCCAATTTGATCTCTGGTCAAGTGGGACGATAGACCCATTCTTGAGCCTTACTTTGCACTACATTGATGATGATAGGAAGTTGTGCCAGAGATGCCTCGAGAGTCGAGACGGCATATTTTCCATTACATTAAAATAATTATTTACATTAAAATATTTGTTTACAGAAGATTCAATGTTTACAGAAATTCACTGTGTAAAATATTGTTTACAGGATATGCAAGAGTTATTTAATTTAGAAGAGATACAGCTTATTTTCTACTTTAAAAAGGAAAAACATTGAAAATAATAAATTTTGTTTCCAAAAGTGCAAGTTATTTTTTTACACTTTTTTTTTTAATAAGAAAAGTTAGTTTTAGGCAATGTGTGTTTTAATTTCACTTGTTCAATGTTAATGTTCAGTGAATAATCTTAGATAGTAAACAGTGTGTGTTTCCTTTAATTATTTTAAAATCAAGTAATGCACTTCATTCATATGTGAGCATATTTACTGTACTGTCAGTGAACTATGAGGGCAAAAAAAAAATCATTCATTAATCGTTATTGAGTTTAAATGTTTAATTAAAATCTCAAATAATCAACGTTTTGATTTGAAGCCAAATCACCCAGTTCAATTGTTGATTTACAACATCAATAAGACTTAGTTTCATTGTAAAGCCATTTTCTTGTTTCACTATATTTTTTCTATCATTTACAAAGGACACTAAAACATCATTCAGTGTTAAAATAGTTAATATATACTAATTATACATTGTGTAAGGCAAGTTTAAAAATGAGTTAAAAAATTTTCATCTTTGACCCATCCAGCTAAAGAAACTAAACCAATTAAAATTGCATATGCATTTAAAATTAACTAGAGTTTCTCTCTGGATTCAAAGACTGAATATAAATAGTAATGAAAAGCCAATATTTTAGCTGCTTTTTTTAAATGAAAATGTCTCCTCTTTCTAAAGTATAAACACATTCTTCCATCAATAATCAGCCCAAAAACACAAAATATGAAAATAATAGGCAGCCTACCAGACATGTTGTGACCTTTTGGTAAGAATCCTTACCCTCAATGGATACAGGTCACAATCGAAAAAAACCTAGATAAATTTCATCTTCATCATGCAGATACTGATGAGAAATCCTCCACAGCTGACTTTCATCCTCAGTACAAACTGTTAATGTTGTCAATCCAGGTTAGTTAAAAAATTAGTTCCTGTTGTATTAAGAAATGTAGTTCAGAAAGCCAAAGTTGTGGTAGCTAAAAAGTTTGAAGTAGCTCAGTTTTTAAACCAAACACTCTTTGCTGCAAATTGCTGTCTTGTTCATTTATTGCGTGATTAAGTGACTGTGCCTCTCTGACTCCCCCTGCAGGAAGTAAGTCAGATGGACAGAAGAGCCCCAGTGACTCTGTGTTTCTGCGAATGGACGACATCCCATACATAAGAGACAGTCCAGTGGAGAGAAAAGAAGGAACCGGTGGGTAAACTGAAGGAATGAAGGAAAACAAAAATGTAATCTTATGCACAAATATGCCGCAAATACCTTATCCAAAGTTCAAAGATGAATATAAAAGATGGTAAAATTTTGAAAACTAAACAGAAAGTGGGAATAAGGTGAACATAAATCATACAAACTGCACTTTTTGCAGTTTTACATAAATATTTTATTTAAAAAAAACGAAAATAATTAATTAATTTGTAAAAAAAATTAAAATAAATATAAAAATATATTAGCCCTGATAGGGTAACACGATGACTCAGTGGTTAGCACAGCGAGAAGGTCGCTGGTTCAAGTGGCATTTCTGTGTGGAGTTTGCAAGTTCTCCCCGTGTTGGCATAGATTTCCTCCAGGTGCTCCGGTTTCCCCCACAGATCAAAGACCTGCGCTATAGGTGAATTGAATAGACTAAATTGACCGTAGAGTATTTGTGTGCATAAGTCTGTATGGATATTTGAATGAATGAATGAATGAATATTAGTGCTGGCCAAAGATTAATACTGATTATTCACATCCAAAATAAAAGTTTGTTTTGACATAAAAAATGTGTGATAATAATTTATATATAATTATGCAATAGAAACACATGAAAACCAAACTATATATTTTTTTGCATAAATATTTAAATTTATATATAATTTGTATCAATATATCTATATATTTTTTCAAAATATAAATAAACATTTTCTCTATTAGGCCTATATGTATGCATGTATACATTTTTATTAACATAATTATACACAGTGCACACATATATAATATGTCAAAACAAACTATTTTTTTAAAGCGTTTAATCGTGATATGTTTTTGCCCAGCCCCATATCTAGTACATACTAAAACTGCAAAAATAACTATAAAAAAATACTACTATTAAAGTTATATACTATAACTTTAAATGTTAAAACAACTGTTAGGTTATAGCATTAGTCTTAAAAATTATATGAAAACATTTAAATAAAAACAAAAATATAAAAAATTATAAGCACGTTCAAACTACTAATAAAACTACATTAGTTTCTCAATGTTACAATAATTAAAAAAACTAAAATGTACTATAAAATAAATAACTGAAGCTAAATGTAAAAATATATATTATAACCAAATAAAAAATGAAATCAACTCAATAAAAACTACATATTCAAACCTACAAAAAAAAAAACACAACATATTTTTTCTCAAACATCACAATTTTGCAAGTTGTAATGAAGAAGAATGAGGTAATAAAAATGTCTTTGTTGTTGCCTTGAATTTTCAAAGTTAAATTAGACACTTTAAAGTCAGGTTATAGCAAAAAGAAAACTTCATTTGAAAAACTGGTTAATTTATTTTGACAGTGTTTTGATAACATTAAATGCATGTTCCATGGCTTACTGAAGGCTTTACATCGGAACTAACCGCATACAGGTTTTAAAATGACTTTAGCTACAGTATGTAAACAATGGCAGTATATGTTGATTTGTGGGTGAACGGTGTCTTTCAGACGTGTGGTGGTCTGATCTCTGAGTGAATGCAGTCACACTTTCAAACACTGGAGTGTCTGTTTGACAGCACGTTTGACACACTGCAGGGAGAGCAAATGCATGAGCTCGAGTCTCTGTTTATACGACTTGCAGAAGAATGCTGACAAAACACTAGTACTGTCCATTCCTGCTCGCTCTGTTATGACTGGAGGTTAACAGGAATTACTCAATCAATAATCATGAATCAGTTTGGATGGACAGAGAAGAGAAGAGAAGAGAAGAGAAGAGAAGAGAAGAGGAGAGGAGAGGAGAGGAGAGAAGAGAAGAGAAGAGAAGAGGAGAGGAGAGGAGAGGAGGAGAGGAGAGGAGAGGAGAGAAGAGAAGAGAAGAGAAGAGAAGAGAAGAGAAGAGAAGAGAAGAGAAGAGAAGAGGAGAGGAGAGGAGAAGAGAAGAGGAGAGGAGACGAGACGAGGAGAGGAGGAGAAGAGAAGTGAAAGAGGAGAGAAGAGAAGAGAAGAGAAGAGAAGAGAAGAGAAGAGAAGAGACAAGGAGAAGAGGAGCGGAGAGGAGAGGAGGAGAGGAAAGGAGAGGAGACGAGGAGAGGAGAGAAGGGAAGAGGAGAGGAGAGGAGAGGAGAGGAAAGAAGAGAAGAGAAGAGGAGAGGAGACGAGGAGAGGAGGAGAAGAGAAGTGAAAGAGGAGAGAAGAGAAGAGAAGAGGAGAGAAGAGGAGAGGAGAGAAGAGGAGAGGAGACGAGAGAAGAGAAGAGGAGAGGAGGGGAGAGGAGAGGAGAGGAGGGGAGAGGAGAGGAGAGAAGAGAAGAGAAGAGAAGAGAAGAGGAGAGGAGAGAAGAGAAGAAAAGAGAAGAGGAGAGAAGAGAAGAGAAGAGAAGAGAAGAGAAGAGAAGAGAAGAGAAGAGAAGAGAAGAGAAGAGAAGAGAAGAGAAGAGGAGAGGAGAGGAGGAGAGGAGAGGAGAGGAGAGGAGAGGAGAGGAGAGGAGAGGAGAGGAGGAGAGGAGAGGAGAGGAGAGGAGAGGAGAGAAGAGAAGAGAAGAGGAGAGGAGAGGAGAGGAGAAGAGAAGAGAAGAGAAGAGAAGAGAAGAGAAGAGAAGAGAAGAGAAGAGAAGAGAAGAGAAGAGAAGAGAAGAGAAGAGAAGAGAAGAGGAGACGAGACGAGGAGAGGAGGAGAAGAGAAGTGAAAGAGGAGGAGAGGAGGAGAGGAAAGGAGAGGAGACGAGGAGAGGAGAGAAGGGAAGAGGAGAGGAGAGGAGAGAAGAGAAGAAAAGAGAAGAGAAGAGAAGAGAAGAGGAGAGGAGACGAGGAGAGGAGGAGAAGAGAAGTGAAAGAGGAGAGAAGAGAAGAGGAGAGAAGAGGAGAGGAGAGAAGAGGAGAGGAGACGAGAGAAGAGAAGAGGAGAGGAGGGGAGAGGAGAGGAGAGGAGAGAAGAGAAGAGAAGAGAAGAGAAGAGAAGAGGAGAGGAGGGGAGAGGAGAGAAGAGAAGAGAAGAGAAGAGAAGAGAAGAGGAGAGGAGAGGAGACGAGGAGAGGAGGAGAAGAGAAGTGAAAGAGGAGAGAAGAGAAGAGACAAGGAGAAGAGGAGCGAAGAGGAGAGGAAAGGAGAGGAGATGAGGAGAGGAGAAGAGAAGAGAAGAAGAGGAGAGGAGAGGAAAGGAGAGGAGATGAGGAGAGGAGAAGAGAAGAAGAGGAGAGGAGAGGAAAGGAGAGGAGACGAGGAGAGGAGAAGAGACGAGAAGTGAAAGAGGAGAGGGGAAAAGAGAAGAGAAGAGGAGAGGAAAGGAGAGGAGACGAGGAGAGGAGAAGAAAAGTGAAAGAGGAGAGGGGAGGAGAGAAGAGAAGAGAAGAAGAGTAGAGAAGAGAAGAGAAGAGAAGAGAAGAGAAGAGAAGAGAAGAGAAGAAGTGGAGAGGAAATGAGAGGAGACGAGGAGAGGAGGAGAAGAGAAGAGGAGAGAGGAGAAGAGAAGAGACAAATAGAAGAGAAGAGGAGAGGAGAGGAGGAGAGGAAAGGAGAGGAGACGAGACGAGGAGAGGAGAAGAGAAGTGAAAGAGGAGAGGGGAGAAGAGAAGAGAAGAGAAGAGAAGAGAAGAGAAGAGAAGAGAAGAGAAGAGAAGAGAAGAGGAAAGGAGAGGAGACGAGGAGAGGAGAGGAGGAGAAGAGAAGAGGAGAGGGGAGAAGAGAAGAGATGATGAAATGAAAGGAGAAGTCAAGATAAAATGAGTGAAGATAAAAAAGAGAAGAGATGAGAAGATAAAAAGAGAAGAGAAAAAAGAGAAGAGAAAAGAAGAGATGAGAGGAGGAAATAAAAGAAAAAAAGAAGAGAAAAGATAAGACGAAAAAAGAAGAGGAGCTAAAAGGAAAGATGATATAAAAAGAGAAGAGAAAAAATGAGAAGGAAAGAGAAAAGAAAAAGAAGAGAAGAGAAAAGAAAAGGAGGGAACATAAAAGAAGAAAAGATGAAATGAAAGAAGAGAAGATAAAATAGATGAGAAAATAGAAGAGATGAGAAGAGAAGACAAGACAAGAGATGAGATTAGATGAGATGAGAAAAGAAGAGGAGATAAAAGGTGAGACAAGAAGAAAAGACAAGATGAGACAAAATGAGAAGAGATGATAAAAGAAGAAAAGAGAAGAGATGAGATGAGGAAAGAAAAGAAGATAAAAAGAGAGATGATAGCAGAAAAGAGAATAGAAAAGATAGGAAGAGAAGAGAAAAAAGAGATGAGATGAGAATTGAAGATAAGCGAAGTGAAAAGATGACAAGACAAGAAGATAAAAGAAAAGAGATGAGACTAAAGAAGAGGAGATAAAAGAGATAATAGAAGAAAGGAGAATAGAAAAGATGAAGCGAGAAGAGACTAGATGAGATGATAAAAAAGAGGAGATGAGACGAGAATAGAAGATAAAAGACAAGATAAAAGATGAGATGAGAAAAAAGAGAAGAGATAAAAGGAGAGATGATAAAAGAAGAGAAGAGGAAAGGAGAGAAGATAAAAAGAGAAAAAAAGATGAGATGAGAAAAAGAGCACAGAAAAAAGATGAGATGAGAAGAGTAGATAAAAGGATAGAAAAGAGAAAGAAGCAAATCAACGTTCCAGCTCAGTTTGTCATCTGATCATTCAGTGTGTTCGATTTACAGTTGAAGACAAAATGATTCGCCATATGGTGAAATTCCCCAATATTTCCCAAGTGTTCTTTATCAGACAGAAGATTTATTTCTTAACATAATAGTTTTAATAATAACTTACTTCTAATGACTAATTTCTTTTGTCTTTGTCATGATGACAGCACATAATATTGTATAAGTTAATTTTTGCAAGACACTAGTATTCGGCTTAATGCACAAGCTAAATGCTTAATTTATTTGGGTAGAAAGTTCAGTTAATAAGGCAAGTCACTGGACAACATTCATTCATTTTCTTTTAGGCTTAGTCCCTTTATTAATCTGGGGTCACCACAGCGGAATGAACTGCCGACTTATCAAGCACATGTTTTATGCGGCAGAT